CATTAAGAATCAATTACTGTTTTTTTCACCTTTCTTTATTTAGAAGCCTACAAATCATATATATATATATATGTGATCGATTATATTTAAATTACTTTGACTTTCGTATAGGGCTAATGTATTAGTGATTAATGACACACTATTTATTTTAAACATTTTTTTTTTCAATATTTCGAAAAAAAAGAAGTCAGAATGAAACAAAATTTCGAGTTTGAAAAACGAACGGATATGTTAGGAAAGAGATAAAAATGCGGGACATGGTGATTCAAAGAAAAAAACAAAAAAAAATAGAGGGAGGGCAGCGGGAGCATTTGTATACAGGTCTGAAGGCTGACTTTAGGACCATGTCGTGTCTGCCATCTCGATGTCACTTGTCGTCTTCTAAACGAAAGTTTTCAAGCTTTTGCTCTTAATAGAACGCGCGCTCCACAATTCTTGTATTTTGCATTGGGATATCCCTGATGTGTACAAAGAAAGGCACACACAGACAACCGAACGTCTAACCAAAGAGTTGTATAGTATTTAAGTTGAATGACTGACTGACACACGTGACCAGGTTAAACGCCCTTGTTTTATTTTATATATATCAATTTTAGTTCGATACAAAATTAGAAAATAGATGTTTTCTTTTAATGGAATCCATGATATATTTTTAGTATCTATTTTTATTTTATTACACCAGTATATGTGTGCTGTTCTTTCGATTTTGATGGTATTTTAAAAAGTTACGAGCCTTATGTGGCGCCACCTACTTTACACTTTTTGGTTCGTACGTAACCTCAAAAAAGTGTATAAAGTAGGTGGCGCCACGTCATTTGAAATAAAAAATGAATCCTGGTTTTTTTTTACACCATCATAAAAAATGTAAAACCGGAAGGACAACATCTTGATGACTAAATAATTAATCAAATTGAAACTTAAAAATATCAAGTGGGAAAAAAATCTATCAAAATACTCATATACTAAACGATATAAAAATATAAGTAGTTGTGTCAAGTGGATGCGTGCGTACAAAGTGCCGAATGAGCTCTCGTTGAGTTATAATGCACATCAACGATGTTCATTTATCATCCGAGAGTATAATCTGAATGGAATTCGATCGCGATGCCAAATTCACTTGTACAACTTCAACACAATTCTAAATCACACTTTTTCCATTCGATTGTTACATAAAAATTTTTATATAATGTTCTTTAATTCTCTTTTCTAATTCAAAAATATGTATTTTTGCGGATAAAATTCTGATTTTAATTTCAATATTTAAAATTCATTTTTAAAATGACGGAAGTATAAAAGAAGGTGATTTTTGACACCTTCGAGATGACGAGAAAGACAGGAGATGGTAAAAAAAAAAAAAAAAAAAAAAAAAAAAAAAAAACAATCGATGGTCGAATCCGTTATACGATTACATAGTTGGCGTATCGATGTCGGTGGAACACAGGGAGCAATTAATCACGATGAGATCGTGGATCGCCCGATCTGGTATGAGACACACCAGACGAAATCCCATGCGTGCCCTGCGTGCCGACGTTTCCAGTCGAGAGACGGATAATGAGCGAACCAACCAAACAGAAGAAGAATGATAAAAAAAAAGTGTGGAAAAAAAAAATGATAAACAAAGAAAAATGACAATTGATAGCAAAAAAAAAAACACAACTTCGATATAGAAGAGAAGGTGTCAAGTGCGTGGAAATTGAAATTTATTGAGAATCTTGCGAGTGAGACAAATTCTTTTTCTTTCTTCAAGAAAAAATTAAAAAAAAATGTTTTAACAAAAATTAAATAATTCCCAAATGCGATCAATCTAAATAAATATTCGAAAAAAATTGTCTCGGAGAGATTTTTATTAATGCAAAATTTTTACAGATTTTAGTGTAAATTTTTTCTTGTTGGCTATTTTTTTTAACAGCAAAATCTTTCTTTTTTTTCAAATACGCAAAGAAAAAATAATTTCTATTTGTTAGAAAAGAAGCAGTGAGGTGTTGCGAATTAGCGATATCCCCAGACAGAGGGAGAGGAAACTATTTATTAAAAAAGTCGCCTACCACTAGCGACGTGGTACATTGGGAGGAAAGCGATAACGGACTATGGTTTTCAGTCATTAAGCTCGCCAACTTTGCCTGTATACTTGCGTTCACTAAATTTTGTTCAAAAGTAACGTTCAATGTTCATGTCCAAGTACCCGCGTGTTTCCCTTCTTCTCTCTCTCTCTCTCATCATTGGTGAAGTGCACATCGTCAACGTACGACGAACACATATATATACGTATAGGTCTGTACCAGCCATTTTCCTTCTCCCTCGGCTCGCATGGACTATTAATAGCGCATTCATTATTGCTGTAAATGAGCCGCCTCTTTAATATCCGCATCTACACTTCATATCTATATGTATATAACTACACCCGTTTTCTCGCTTCAAACAAATAACAAGTCTCATCACCCTTTCATCGGTCTTGCACCTGCAATTTTCATATAATGCTCTGGAATTACAAAAAAAAAAAGTTTGTGGAACTGATGAATTTTGTAAAATTTTGTTTAAAACGAAATCTAATATTTATGGATTTTCCAAAAAATTAATAATAAAAATATTGATTAAATGCGCAAGAAGGAGTTTATTTTTGAATAGTAAGGCTAGGACAAGTGACAACGTTGACGAAAAACTGATAAGATGTTGTAAAACACTATAGAATTTTCAAAAATTAACCATAAAATAACCGTTAAAGGTTAATAGTGACTATTTTTGAATTGCATAATGGACAACTTTGGCTTAAAACTGATAATTTTATTGTGAATTGTATTTGGGATTTACCCCACTTTTTTAGCAAACTAATATTCACTTTTCAAAAATTCACCATCAAATAACTGTAAAATTTAAAAGAAACTATTTTTGAATTGCATATGACATATGGACAAATGACAACGTTGGCACAAAATTGATAACTTATTTATCCTTAAATGTGTTTGAAATGTATCCCACTTTTTTAGTACACTAATATTAACACAGATTTTTCCAAAAATTGACCATCAAATATAATCGTAAAACGTTAAAAGAAACTATTTTTAAATTGCAAAACTGACAACGTTGGAGAAAAACTGATACCTTTATGTCATAATATGTGTTTAGAATCTGAAAACAATTTTTTTAGCACGCAAATTCATAGATTTTCCAATAATTAACAATAAAATATTTATATATAACGTTAATAGTTGCTGTTATTTGAATTGCAAGACTTGGACAACTGACAACGTTGGCGAAAAACTGATACCTTTATGTCATAATATGTGTTTAGAATCTGAAAACAATTTTTTTAGCACGCAAATTCATAGATTTTCCAATAATTAACAATAAAATATTTATATATAACGTTAATAGTTGCTGTTATTTGAATTGCAAGACTTGGACAACTGACAACGTTGGCGAAAAACTGATAATATTGTCGTAAAATGGAAAATCCACTTTTTCCGAACACTAATATTCGCAGAATTTTTAAAAAATTGACCAAAAAATAATCGTAAAACGTTAAAAAAAAACAATTTTTTGAATTTCACGACTTGGATAACTGACAACGTTGGCGAAAAAACTGATAATTTTAGCTTAAAATTTGTTTGGAACTTTTAATCCACTTTTTTAGTTATATGACTAAAATTATCAGATTTTTCAAACAATTAACAATAAAATATTCATTAAACGTTAAAAATTTCTATTTTTTTGAATACCAAAAATTGGACAACTGACAACGTTGGTCAAAAACGAACTTTTTTGGCTTTACCCTGATGATAAAAATGATTATTTTTCAAAACAAAAAACAAAATTTGAACATCATATATAAGCAATTCGCGAAACTTGTTAATTTTAATTAGAGCTGTCGTCCTGTCAATATTTATTTACCCCACAGGGACAAAAAGCAAACACCTCTCGCTTTATAAGTACACATATGCTTTTCTGCGAACTTTCTTTACAGTGATCATAAATACCGAAATTAATGGCCCATATCGGAGTTCCACAGCGGCATAAATATATATATATATATATATATATACATAAACGCACACAGCACTCCATGTAATGCGTTCAAGTCACTCATTCGTAACATCGGTTCAGCTATCTACAAAAGATAATTGTTTCATTTTACATTCAGACCTCTTGTAGACGTCTTAATTATAACTTCTTAAACAATTATCAATTTTATCTTCATAATATATAATATATTTCCCTTTTATAATTAAATTTTATTTATAAATTATACATTTTTGATATTTTTTTTCAGCTCTGGGGAATTAGCGAGATTGGTTTATGGAAATTAAGAAAAGAAATTTTTTTTTTTGAATGAAGGAAACTTAAATTGCGTTACGCCGTCTAGGTAAATTAAGGTTAACAGGATACATCATATTCGGTGTGGTTTTCTGATACATGTATAATATTGAGAAGTAGGTGTAATAGGCGGGGTATCATAATAATAGCATTGCAAAATTATTTATGACCAAGGCGTGTTAAGCAAATAGGTAAAACAGCTGCCAAGTGACCAGGTTTGCAATCCAGTAACACCGGTGGTGGAAAGCATATTAACCACGACTCGTTGAAATAATTAATGAGCTCGTCACGCATTAACCTCCCGGTAATACGCTTCGTCTATAAAATTTCCCTTTTATTCAAATACACGACACTTAAAAGTTCGCACTTCTATAAATATTATATATTGATATTTGATTTTTAGAAGTTTTCTATATGACTTTATACTGCAGCGCCGCACCACTGTAAATTAAAAAAGCGGGAAAATTTAAAAATATTTTTTTAACTCACTGAAAAGTAAATAAATATTCATAGTAATTAATAAAAGAGTAATCAGAATGTTGATCAGAATTTAGAAAAAAAGTATTTTAAATACCGGTTTTTTTTTTGAATACCTTAAGAAGTTTTTTTTGACAGGTTGTACAAATTATCTCGACGATTTTTAAATTAACGCTATAAATCTCATTCTTTTTTTTTTTTTTTTATTGCAGGTACTGTAAACGCGAACGGTGAAACGAAACGACAGAGGACATCGTACACGAGGTATCAGACCCTGGAGCTTGAAAAGGAGTTTCACTTTAACCGCTACCTGACGAGGAGAAGGCGCATCGAGATCGCACACGCCCTATGCCTCACTGAAAGGCAGATTAAAATCTGGTTTCAAAATCGTCGTATGAAGTGGAAGAAGGAACACAAAATGGCGAGCATGAATATTGTACCGTACCATATGTCGCCCTATGGTCATCCATACCAATTTGCCCCGCATCCCGGTCAGTTTGCCCATTTGGCCACATAGGACGAGTTCTCGCCCGCCGAGCTCGGAGCACACGCTGTCCGGTTTCCTGGGATGTACGGCGAGCAGAATTTCTAGGCTTTCAATTCTTTCAAATTTTTTTTTGAAAAAAAAATCACTTCAAAAATATTTCCAAAATGAGTACTTTAATTCGTTCAATTTTTTACAAAAAAAAAAAAAAAAAAAATATGTAACGAAAATAATTTCTTCATCTATAGGGTTTCGTGACTTTTAAAATTCAGATTAAAAATTAGTTGCTATGGAAACTATTGCTATGGACCTATTCAAACGGTTGCTATGATAAAGGTTGTTATGTAAAAAAATTGCTATGGTAACGGTTACTATGGAAACCGTTGCTATGGACCTATTGAAACGGTTGCCATATGAAAACGGTTATCATGGAAACAGTTGCTATGGTAACGGTTACTATGGAAACGGTTGCTATGGAGTGTTGTTATGATAACGGTTGATATGGAAACGGTTATCATGGAAACTGTTGCTATGGACCTATTGAAACGGTTATCATGGAACTATGGAAACTGTTGTTATGGTTGCTATGGAAACGGTTATCATGGAAACGGTTGCTATGGAAACTGTTGCTATGGACCTATTGAAACGGTTATCATGGAAACAATTGCAATGGAAACTGTTGTTATGGTAACGGTTGCTATGGAAACTGTTGTTATGATAACGGTTGCTATGGAAACGGTTATCATGGAAACTGTTGCTATGGACCTATTGAAACGGTTATCATGGAAAAAATTGCAATGGAAACTGTTGTTATGGTAACTGTTGCTATGGAAACTTTTTGTTATGCTAACGGTTGCTATGGAAACGGTTATCATGGAAACGGTTGCTATGGAAACTGTTGCTATGGAAACTGTTGCTAAGGACCTATTGAAACGGTTATCATGGAAACAATTGCAATGGAAACTGTTGTTATGGTAACGGTTGCTATGGAAACTGTTGTTATGATAACGGTTGCTATGGAAACGGTTATCATGGAAACGGTTGCTATGGAAACTGTTGCTATGGACCTATTGAAACGGTTATCATGGAAACAATTGCAATGGAAACTGTTGTTATGCTAACGGTTGCTATGGAAACTGTTGTTATTATAACGGTTGCTATGGAAACGGTTATCATGGAAACAGTTGCTATGGTAACGGTTACTATGGAAACGGTTGCTATGGACTGTTGTTATGATAACGGTTGATATGGAAACGGTTATCATGGAAACAATTGCAATGGAAACTGTTATGACCATGTACGAAATCTTAAAAAAATTTGTATCAATTTAATAATTTTTTAAGTAGAATTTATTTTTAAAATCAGTTTAAAAAATATAAAAGTAATTTTTTGCAGACTAAGGAATTTGTCATTTTCTGAGATTTGAAGATTTTATGTTTTTGTTTCGAAACGCGATTTAATCGTTAAAATTGCATACATCCCGTGACGGAATTTTGATCCTGATTTGTGAACGAGACAGAGTACTCTTTCAGAAATTAACCATTTGAAGTTGAAGGGAAGCCAAAATTTCTGCATAAATGTGCCGTGCGCCTACTATAATAGACTGGACGCGCTCTGAGGGGCTCTCGTTTAAAGTGATTTTTGAAAAAAAAAAAAAGAAAAAAAAAAAATTATTTTCACCACAATCACTGAGAGCCTTCCTCTGCGGGCGAGATAGCCGAATCTTTAGCTTAAGATTAGGAACTAGCTGAGATCTAATTAAATAATTATATGCTAATTCTAGCTGCACACTCTTTATATCGATCAATTATTATTGGATGAGCAAACTTTTTTTTCTAATTTTTTTTTTTTTATTTGGTATCATCGAATATGAATTTTATTTTCAAAAAATAAATTCTCATTTTTTTTTTTAATTTTACAGATTTTTATTCAAAAGATAATTGGCAAAAAGGTGAATTAAATTGTAAATTCTTATATGAGAAAAATAAAAGTTTGCTCAACTAGAAGTCAAAAAAAAAAAAAAGTACTTACTTTCCAGAAAATAAAATAATGAGTGTCTAATTTAATTTTTGCTCGAAAGGCAAGAAAAAAAAAAATAAACGAGAGAAATGGACAAATCTTATCGGCTAGATATATCGAAAAAGATTTATATATATTATATATATTTAAATATTAAAAGAAAAATGAATGAAACTCGATGCAATGCAATATTGAAATAGAAACCTAGTTTCTAACGAAAAAAAAACAAAAAAAAAATACGTCGTGTGTAATATCGCCCTTTTAGAATTTAAGATGCCTGCTAATGCTCAAAGTGTTCTTGGCCAAAATCGAATGTTATTTGGGGGGGGGGGAGAGAGTTGGCAATTAATTTAGCGCGATACGCGAAATGCCCAAAGACTTTTTTTTTTTCTTTTAAATCTGTCGTTAAGGAAAAAAAAAATCACAAAGTGTTGTCAAAAAAAAAAAAAAAATGTTGTTTAAAAATTGTATATTTTATAAATGCAATTTATGTCTATGTGTTATATAAGTATATAAATATATATATATATAATTAGTGAATTTTTTGAGTGTTTTCGACATTAAGAGTGATTCGATGAATAGAAAACTAATCTGCAGCTATTAAATAAATTTTTTAAATTATCAAAAAATAAATGAAAAAGTTTTAATTGTTTTAAATAAAACTGGTATTCACTATTTTAATAAAATCTTTCGCTATTACAAATAATTTTTTTTTTTCCGTAAAATAAAAATTTTATTTCATAAAAGTCCTCGAAATGGTGAGAAAAATAATAATATAGAAATAAATAATTTGAATAATTAAGAGTTGCAGATTTGTAAATAATTTTTTTATCGTTTTCAGAGTTAATGGGTTTCCGTATCGTGATAAAGAACTCGATGTATTCGCCAATATTTCCAAGTTTTTTTTTTTTTTTTTTTTTTTTTTGTGACAAAATAGTGGGCACTATGAAGCCCAACAAGTTTTTTTTTTTTTTGTAAATAAATAGTTTGCACCATAATGTACCCAACAGGTCTCTGAGGAGCAGTTGCGTTTGTTCCTATACCAGTCTGTAGGTAGTTAAATATAAGTACACGAGACCTGCATCCGCGATATTGAAACTTGGATAAAATTTTTCTTTTTGGAATTAAAATATCCAAATTTAATTTTTAACAACAAAAAATTAATTATTAAAAAATTGATTTCAAAAAAAAATTCTTTATTAGTTAAATATTTTATATATATATATTTTTTTTTTTAAATCACAAATTACCCATGTTTATTAATTTATTGTTTTTTTTTTTTAAATTAAAATTTAATGTAAATTTTTTCTCGGTGTCTATGTAAAAGTTTATTGTAAAAAAAAAGTATTTATCGTTAAATCCAAGGTTTATTGTAGTGGATGGTTGTCTCGGAAGTTCTTGCGCGTGCGTAATCGATTGGTTGATAAATTCGAAAAAAAAAAAAATTAATTAACCATTAACGATTGCAAAAATTCAAGAGGCATAATAACACTCGCATGCGTGAAATAATTGGATATATCTTGTGATACGAAATGCCGTCGCTCTGTGCTTAGAATTTAAACGAGAGGTCGTGCGATATTCGAAAAAGCAAATTCGGAAGCGTACAGGGATCCTAAGTATACGATCGATGCTGATGAAAAAAAAAAAAAAAAAAAAAAAAAAAAAATCTATAAATATATAGGATTATAAATTGTAAATAATTATTGACTAGCGAGAAATCGACGAAGTTATAAATATCCATACGGCACCCCCAAAGACGCACCCATATATAATAAATTATCAGCACTGAGAACTCAATGAGTTTGCGCACAAAAAAAAAAATGAAACAATTGTGCGCAAACTCGATAGATCCTCTCATTGATTAATAACAAAATTTATTTATTATTTTTCAGAAAAATTTTCCTTTTCTTTGGGATGTCGAATGGAGAAATATTTAAATAATTATTAAGACGATTGACATGATTATTAAATTTATTGTAATTACGATTATTGAGAGTGAATCTGTTGCTATAATGATTTGGTCCAGTGTTAATGTATTTTATTTGTTTCGTTATGAAAAAAAATTTTTTTTTTTTGTTGAAGTCGCCGCGTGTCGTGAAACACGTTAAGGTACCTAATATAAATATATATATATGAAAATAAAGAAAAAAAAAAAAGACTTTTTCCACCGAATCGAAAAGGATCGATAACAGAACTGATATATTTAGTCTTAAGTCGATTCGATGGGAAAAGATAGATTGCAAAAAAAAAAAAAAAAAAAAACATTCTCCCGATTTAAATTAAGCTCAAAGTATTACGTTTCGCATAGCGTTTTTTCAAATGTTACTTCATTCCATGTAATATACGTAATAGTCTAACTAAATACCTACTTACTACATCTACGTAACTTAGAGCACACACCATATGTGTAAGATCATATAATTGTATAATTTAAATTGTAATTATTAAATGGTATAAAATAATGAAATAATTTTCGTTTTGTTTTTCCTTTTCCCTTTTTTTTTGAAAAAAAAACTAAATTCTATTAATAATATTAAATTTGAAAAGAAATATTTTAATAATCTTTATTTTTTTCCATTTTATCAACTATCGCTAAGAACCTTTGATCCACACACGAGAGTTGACTTGATTTATCAAGTTTATCATATTATATACTTTTTGTAATGTTGGTTATATATATATATTGTTACATTGACGACCGGATGTCATTAAAATTAACTTTGTCGCAATTATTCGGAGAAATGGATTCGACAATTATAATTAAAGAAAACATGTGTTATTATTAAAAAGTTAAATTAGAGAATAAATTTATATCTTATGTGAGATTTACGACGTCATTGATATCATTTTCTGAAAAAGTTGAGAGTGCTTTTATTATCAAAGAGAAAACGAATCAAGTGGGGTCATTCGTGTTTACATAAATATATATATATATATTTTTTCTCTAATTGTTCGCGATTTTTCCAACTAAATAGATTATTTATTTACCAGATATGAAGTACGGTGAATCATTTAACGTACAATTATCATCCATCTGTTTTGTTCGATTGAATAAGAATTTTTTTTTTTTAACGTAAATAACTTCCTTTTATTTCCCCATTTAATTAAGAAGATTAATTTATTTTTTCGATAAATATAAATATATATATACTATATATATATAAAATATCTATTTTGTGTAAGTCATAAGTTTCATGATAACGCACATGATAGACGTTTGGGGTTATCATGACTGCTTTCTTCTTTTGGACTATCAATTTTTTTCCAACATTAAGTTTTTTCTTTTTTTTTTTTTAGTAAAATTTTGATTTTCTTCGATTTGCAAAAAAAGAAAATAAGAAGCGCGAGAAATTGAGAATTTTTTCCAATTGTCAAATTATTCTTTGGTGAAAGTAAATTTAATTTATTTTCAAAATAAAAATTTTAGGTATAGAAAAAAAAAATTGACAGTATGAAGATTTGAACCCTTGATGCAACCCTTAATGAAATCGACAATTTGTCCGCGCAGCTATGTTAAATGTAAGATACTTAAAAAAAATATTTTATGTTTTGCGCGGCACTATTTGATGTTAGTTTCCGTTTTTATTTTGACAGAAAAAACTGGCTTTTAATAAGGTAGAAATAATTTATAATTATCCAAAAAAGCTAATGTAAATAAATTTTTAATTTTTATTCAAGTTTTTTTTCCAACTTTTAATCAAGTTAAACTCTCAAATTGAGCGAAAAAAAAAATAAAAAAGAGAAATTAAAATTCAAAAAAAGAGGATAAGATATATAGAAAAAAAAGTACTTCCGTCGGTTTAACGTATAGGTGATAAGATCGCGTGACAGTGATGGGGGGTCGAGAGAGCATGATAGCCCAATCCAACAGGTATATAAATATATATATATAAAAGCAAATGTAAACTAAAAGGAGAGAATGAAGAGACAAAAAAAGATGACATCGTCGCAAGTCACGTTTTATCCGCGAGAGACTTTTACAATCTAAATTGTGTCCAAGCTACCGACGATGACTTTGCATCTCATCAAGATTTGTCCTAGGCCTTTTATTATAACTGCGCAGTCAAAAAAAAAAAATGCTCGAAATGCTACTGCGCAATGGCAAGTCATTTGGAAAATTACTGCGCATGACACTCAAAACGAATACTAATTTGCGAAATTATTAATATAATTATTATTATTATTATTATTATTATTATTATTATTATTATTTAAATTCCAAGGAGATTATTCTGATAGATGAAAAATTAAGACGTTTACTCAAGACGTTTAGGAAAAAAAAAGATGTTACTGAAAAATACGAGTTGTCTAAACTTCCGTACTAAATCAAATGACTTATAAATATCGCATCGTAGTTGACACGAGAAGGATTTAGAATCATCGGTTTTCTAATACATTCTGGACAGTGAGCTTGCGACACCTGCCCACGCAAAAATGTAAGGCAACAGCTGGAAAAGCTGATTTTAATTCTCGAAAATTCGTGCTTATATATATATATATATGCTATACCTGTATTCCCACTTAATGTCAACTAAATTATTTCAAAAAACAATCATTTTAGAAAAAAAAGCCTCGAAAAAAAACATATAGATAAAAATAAAAAAACGATAAATCAAAAAATAGAAAAAAAAATTATTTCTAATACATTAAAATAAAAAAAATAATAATATATCGAACGTGAGAAGCGAAATCTAAGATATAGTTTTAAAAGTGAATGTTCGAAATAAACCTACGTCGCAGATGGTTGCATTTGATATGAATTTATCGTGGTCGCGATACCAGAATATTTTATTTTTTTTTTTTTTTAATACAACTCGAATATATAGCCGCTACTTAATAACTCATCGTTCTGAATGCCATAGAGGATTTCTTGTTATAATACTTGCACGCGCGTTCTTTCCGCGTCTTATTCCCATTCCCCGGCATACCAAAAAAAGAATGCCAATGGAACTGTAGTGCAATTTTCACTAAAGCGAAATATCTGTTCGCCGATTAAATATAATTAATGTTCGTTGGTTTCTAGCAAACGTGTCTCTCTCTCTCTTTTGCAGTATATATATATATATATATATATTTCTTTTTTTTTACTTTTGTATGGTATCGACATTCTTCGCTGTGTCAAGCTCCGGACCCCAAGTCAAAAACCCCTTCTCTTAATTCTCCCCCTCGTTCCCCTTTCTCTTTCTGTGCCCCCCTTTCTCAACTCGGCACTATGATCTCGAACCTTGACTCTTCATTAATCACACCGCGCAGTATCAATGACTGACTGAGTGACTGACGGCGGGCGAGAGGTATTATATATATAGCATTCGCGAATAGCGATGCTGATATTTTGCACAAGAACCTCTCTCTCTCTCTCGATTCAACGGCATTGTCGATTCAATCCAAATAATTTTCTTTTCACCCTCCATCGGAAATTTGTTCAATCTGAACCCGAATCTGCTAAAATTTACCTATATATAATTCTTCTTTGTTTTTTTTTTTACAGCCGACAATAGAATATCCGTTATTTTTCTTTTTCATTAACACAGAAAAAATTAAAAGTCATTAAAATAAGCTGCAACGCTTATTATTTGAATCCAATTTTGCTTATTTTAATCAATTTTGGTATTAAAATAAGAAAAATTGTATTAAAATAACAAGCGTTGCAGCTTATTTTAATGCCTTTTTAATTTTCTGTGAAAACATTATGTGTTGTATATTAAAAGCATTGTAATTATTACAATGCGAAGCAAAAAATTTGCAATGCTGATGATATTCTTTGACGAGAAGTAAAAAAAAACACTGCCCCATGGAGGTTCTATCAGAATTCCGCCGGAACTTCCAACGTAATTCCGTCGGAATTCCAAAGAATTTCCTATATGGGATTCTGAGGGAATTACGATTAATTTTTTTCAACATTTTTAGAGTCCTAATTCCGTCAGAATCCCATCGGAAATTCCTTGAAACTCCGACGGAATTACGTTGGAAGTTCTGGCGGAATTCTGATAGAACCTCTCCAGGGGGCACTTTCCGGGGAATCTTTCCAAGTGGGGATAGCGAGAATTTCACTCACCGCTGCGCGCGCAGAACTTGCGGAGAGGGGATAGCGAGTATTCCACTTACCGCTGCGCGCGCAGAACTTGCGGAGTGGGGATAGCGAGTATTCCACTTACCGCTGCGCGCGCAGAACTTGCGGAGAGGGGATAGCGAGTATTCCACTTACCGCTGCGCACGCAGAATTTACAGAGTAGGGATAGCGAGTATTCCACTTACCGCTGCGCGCGCAGAATTTACAGAGTAGGGATAACAATCTCAATCAAATGAAAAGCCATAAATACAAAGAAGTTAATTAATAAAATTGTACTATTAATATCGTAATTATATATATATATATAAATAACAAAAATTAAAATAAGGACATAAAATTTAATTTGATAATAATAATCATTGAAAACATTATTTCTTATACTCTCTGGCAACTTTATAAACCGGCTCACATGTCATCAATTAATCTCCGAACACTCAAATCAAATAAATGTCCATCACATATCAACTAGAACATAACCTTACCCATTAATAAATACCAAGTATATTGCCAACCGACGATATTTAAATTACAAAAGAAAATCCGTTCCAATGTTATAAGGAAGACGATAAATAACATTGCTGTCACTTTTTGTCAGCATATAGTAGGGTGTTGTCCAAGCAAAAGAAATAATAACAGGTTAACAACGGGGTTGCGATGAGATGAGTAATACAGGGTGTTTCATGAAGACCATAATGTAATATTTCCTCACAGCATCAGAGGATGTATACACGAACCTAAAACTCAATGTATAGAGTTAGGAACGGTATATATATATATATATATATATATATATATATATATAAAGACAGAGGATTGGATGGAATGGGACGAGATGGAGGCCGCATTAATAAAACATTAAGGTTTTGTAGACGATGTATCGATGTAGTGTTTATATTATCTTCTTTGATGTCGACATGTGAATTGGACAGATTTGTTATTCAGACTCCGTACATAAAAGTGGTGAAGTCTTGCTCCGCTCCGTTTGTGGACAGGCCGTGTGCGACAGGAGCCAGGAACAGACGGACATAGACGAACGAACAAACGGACGAAACACAAGGAATACTCCTTTCCATCTTCCAAGCTCTCAACTTTGGTCTTCTTCTTCTTCTTAGTTTTCTTCTTCCTCTATATATACAAGACTGCCATTCACCCCCGTGCAGAAGGTTTATCACCACTCACTTACATTTCTCTGTTGGACGTTTGAGGGACTCTTAGAGAGAGAATATGTTTCCCTATACTTCTTCAATAATAGACTCACATTTCCGTCACATCTTCCATATTTTATAGTACAATTATATAGTATAAACTAATTTTTATCTCTTGTGAATGGTAATTTAGTTTTTAATTTGAAAAAAAAAGTTACAAAAGTTTTTTTTTTGGCACCATCTGTTGGG